GAAGGGAGGGGAAAAATGAGGACCTAATGCCAGGGGCTTAAGTGGAGAGGAAACGTTTTGAGAATGATGAGGGCAATGAATGTACAAATGTGCTTTACACAATTGATGTATGTATGGATTGTGATACGAGTTGTATGAGCCCCTAATAAAATGATTTAAAAAAAAGGGAAAAAAAAGAAAGTAATTTTATCGTTATGGGGGGCACCACAACATGAGAGCTGTATTAAAGGGTTGTGGCATTAGAGAGGTTGAGAACCACTCCCTTAGTTGGCACCCTGACTCGTGTGAAACCACTTGAATAATCTTATCTGTTGTTGGATGTTGAATCATATGTGTGTGTGTATATATATATGTATATATATATACATACACACACATATATCTTATCTATTAATGGATAAAACATTTACATATAGAAATCTTATCTATTAATGGATGCTGACAACTTAAGGAGTTTATACCTCAAAAAGGGGTAAATACTATCATTAAATATATATGTACTTTTCAAAATGATTACATTAAAGAGAAGTAGTGGGTTAGGTTTTAGAGATCCAGTGAATTTGGATAAAAACAAACCAAAAACTACCGCATGTATCCTGGGCAAACTAATTCATGGGACATTTGCTTGGCTCCTAACCCTTTTGCAGTTTGACTTTTAGGTCAACTTCTTGGTTGATTGGAATCAGTTTGATAGCAGTGAGGCGAGGGGGGATTTGTAAACCCAGTGATCTTTTCTCTCAAACGCTCTGCCTGTTTACTCATCAGTTTCCATACTCTGTGGTTTGCCCGCCACTTTGACTGCTTTCTCAGTCATCAAACTCCCTCTTTCTCCTCCTGCCCCGTAACTGAAGAGCCCATGAGGTTCTGTTTCGCGTCCGGCTCTTTTCTCACTTTATATTCTCTTTCGGTGATCTCATTGAGCGACATGGCTTCCGTCATCATCGATAAGTGGTTAATTCACAAATGCATCTCTCTTTTAGGCTGTAGAGCCTCTTTTTTGGATGCTTCTATTAAAAAAAATTTTTTTTTAGACACCTCCATCTTACTCTCTTTGGACAAAGTGAAGATGCTTATAGCTTAGTTACTTATCTTACATATGGCCCTCTTCGACCTATGAATAGAATAATCCAGGCTCTTAGCCCCAGTTTCTCCTCTGGTTGTGTGTATTCTTACCGAGGAATCTTAGTGGCTTCGAGGGTTACGTATTGGACTGCTAACTGCAAAATCAGCAGTTCGAAACCACCAGCTGCTCTGCTGGAGAAGGATGACGTTTTCTCTTCCTTTAAAGAGTTACAGTCTTGGAAACCCACACTGACAGTTCTACCCCGCCCTTTAGCGCCACTACAGGTCAGAATCGACTCGATGGCAAGGCACTTTGAGATAAACATTCTGAACAAGCTCACAACCTAGCTCTGGCCCTTACTACCTTTTTGGCTGGTAGTCTTGCAGTTGTCTTTTGATTTCTTTCTCCTCCCTACTGCCTACTCTGTTGAAATCTACCTTAGCGAATTCTGTGAGTACCATGTTCCCTAAATGTAGGGCTTGCTGATGTGGCTCCGTAAGATCCTTTTGCTGCGTTTCTCTTCTGTCTAGAATCAAGTCAGTAGCCAAGCGGAGCCGTGTCCAATTTCCGCTTGTCTCTTGCATTTGACCTGAGCCTGTATGTCAGCCAGACTGCTGCTCCCACTCCTTAAATACGGTTTATGGGCTGCTGCCTCCCTGCCTTTGCTCATGCCGTCTCCCTTCTCTCTGTCCTTGAGAATCCTCTTCCTTGCAGCCTTCATTGTACTTTCAGGTGCACCTCAAATACTGCCTTGCTAAAATCTTTCACTTAGAATTTCCCTACAGACTATCCCTTAAATTACAAAGCCTTTTGTCACTTGGATGATGTATTTCCTACATATCTAGCCACTTCCTGTCAGGCCCCCTGTGATTCACATAGAATCACTTCTTGTTCTGTGGGCCAGGCCATGTGCTTTCCTACACAGGGCACTTACCTCCTGTGGCTTAGCTGCCCTTTAGTGAATTTTTTTTAATGTACAGGTGGATTGTGGTGGTGGTGATGACAACATTTGAAACCTAGTCCTCTAGTACAGCGATGTCCTTCCTCTATCCCATAGATGTGCTTCATCACCTAGATGTCCATCATCACATAGTTGTCCCCCGTCTTTGGATACAGTGGAGATGCCTGTAGCATCTTGTGGAGCCCCTCCATTGTACAGCTGTCCTCTAGATCCATAGGCCGCTTCACGGAGTGGAAAGAATTGACTTGGGTTTTAAACTCTGGCTGTGATGCTTGCTAGCTATGTGAATTTGGTAAAATGACTTGATTGTCTTTAGCTTTTATTTTCAGGTTTGTAAAATAGGGAGGATATTTAACCTTATAGGACCAATATGAAATTTAAGTGAGGAACATCAAACAAAATGCCTACTCTTAGTATGTTCCTCAATAATAATATTGAAGCAAAACCAAAACCAAAACAATTTGACTCATTTTAAAGTTGTTTACATTAAAAAAAAAAAAGTGGATTAGGCTTCCAGTGAATCCCCTCTGACCACAGACCAGGGATGTGAATAGCTGTGCTATTATGCGAAGTGCTTTGGAAGATGGGTGATTACAGATGCAGTTAGGTTCAAATTTAACACTTTGTCACTTGATCTCTCTCTTGACCCATTTTAAATTTGTTGTAGTTTTTTAATATTTCCTATCCTTTTTTTGGATTGAGGTTTTTCTGTTTTACTTTGTTATTGTTGCTAGTTTTGTTTGCTTGTATGTGTTTCTGTATATGAAATCCAGGATAGGTGTATTGATGGAGACAATAAATGGATTATTGGTTTCTTGGGGGTATGGCAGGGGAGATTGGGGGAAATGGGGAGTTAATTACAAGGAATACAAAAAAGAAAATTGATGGTGGTAATGATTGTACAACTCTTAATATGATTCAACTATTGAATTAGATGATATGTGGATTGTTTGCCAGTAAGCATATTAAAAAACAAAACAAACAAAACAGAAGGCAGCAATAGATTTGCCTCCGTGGGACTAATTGTATGTGATGGGGCCTTAGGCAGTGGTGCCAGACAGACTAAGTGAGGAGACTGAAGGCAAAATGTCCTATTCCTCGAGGACTGGTTTGCCAATCAAATTCTAGTTAGAGATCAGGAAGAACGTCCTGCAGCACATAGTGCAACACATAGCACTTTGTACCTCTCCATAAAGAAAGACTTTTCCATATTGCCCTCCTGCCTCCCCCAGCATGTCTTCTGAACATGAGGTGGCAGCTTGGATATGCTGTTCTCTTAATGCCTTGACCTGGATTATTATCATGACTTGGTCCTCACTGATCTTCCTAGCCTTCTTTGGCCCTGTGCCCTATGCAGTGAATGGTGTCATTTTTTTCTGTGTGTCTAGCACCTGAACTTTCATATGAGGGCAGCTCTACAAGGTCTTGGTACAGGGTAAGGCCAATCTCAGATATCAGAAGCTGGAACGTTGGCCTGCTCCCTGCTTTCTTGACAGCAGGAGCATGGAAATGTGTGCCAGGCCAGTGGGACTCGATTTCTGCAATGAGTGACGCAAAAGATGAAGAACAGGGTCAGTGGTGGCAGTGATGGTAGAGGCAGTGATTTTGTGCTCCGGTGGCAGTGGTGACTCCCCCTGGCTGTTCTTGTGAGTGCTGTGGGCTGTGGTCTGTGGGCTGTGACTGCGCCGCCTACTTGGTGCCCGCCCACGTTCAGAGCGTTGATTCTCCAGCCCTTCTGGTGGGTGCTGTGAGGCTACCTAATGTGGTTCCTTTTCTGTGTATAGGAACCCAAGGTGGCTTCTGTGATTTGCAGAATTCCCACTCATGCTGCCCTCCTTCACCTGGTGCCCCACTTACATTAAACTTTCTCTAGCACTTCCAAGCTGGCACGGCTGGATCCGCTCGGCCATTCTCACGGGCTGTTCTCCCTGGAGCATCCTTTGCCCCATGCTTCATCTGTTTGACTCTTGATAGCCCTTTATTTTTCTAAATATATATGCACACATACATATAACCTCAAGATGGGCTTCCTCCTCAGTGTTCCAACCGGTCCCTCCGTCTGTCCCCAGTGTAGTGCTTGTCAGTCTTTCTGTCATGGTCTTTATGTTCAATATCTTTGCAGCGTTCCTGGAAGATAATAATTGCTGTCTCAATTTGATCTGTGGAATGAGTGAGAAATGAATTAATTGCCATGTAATAGAAAAGGTTTTTCCCACCTTCCATTTGCATGCCTGTTTCCCCCAATAAACTGAGTTTTCTGAGAGCAGAGATCAGGTTATTAATTTATCACTTCTCTGCCCCACTATGAGCTTGTTTGTCACCAAAGACTCCAAATCCATATCAAGTTTACATTTCCTCCTCTTTTTAAAAAAGCCACTCAAACCACTATTTAGGTTTGAGGGATAAGGAATCTGGAGGTATTTTTGTTTGATTTTTTAAAGAACCATACTGTATATATATATTTACACAGGCCACCGCAAGAGATGAAATCCAGGACAATATCGTATCAAACCTACCATATATGTGGGTCGGGCCCCCTCCTCTCTCCCCACCCCTCCTGCCCCTCATCACTGTGTTTTATTTTGTGGCAACGACTCACAGTAGATGTGGAGGGAATGCAAGAACAGAGGAGTGAATGGTAGGATTGACTGTCGTTTGAGAATTGCAGGCAAACTGCTTCTCCCCCAAAGAAAGTATCTTCTTTGACCAGACAGGTACAGATGAGAAATAGCTAGATGGCGGGCCAGCATGTTCCATGCTAAGGGAGGGATCATGGGCAGAGTATCTTCGATGCCAAACGAATAGAACGTGTCTAATGGAACCACTGAAAGCGCGGTGCTGTGAGCAAATGCTTGCTCGGGGAATGGCTCGTGTTGGCTTGGGTCGGTGAAAAGGGGAGCGTAGGGTAGGTGTTGTCTTTGTTTTGCTTGGCTCATGACTTGTTTTGGACTAGTTCATTGTGTTCTCTTTTTTCAGGTTCAAGACAACTTTGACAAAATCGAATTCAACAGGATGTGTTGGACCCTTTGTGTCAAAAAAAACCTCACAAAGAGTCCCCTGCTTACTACTGAAGAAGATACATTTAAAATATGGGTTATCTTCAACTTTTTGTCTGAGGACAAGTATCCATTAATTATTGTGCCAGAAGAGGTAAGGTCTGGTGTGGGGATGTTTTTAAGTAATAATTGATGTTGACTCAGTGTTGACCTGGAAGGAAATCCCGGACTCGGGTTTGGTGGATCAGAGAGACCAAACAGCCGAGTCAAGAAAAGTCTAAAACTTGGGTGATTTTTTTGAGGCATGTAATAAAAATATCCTTGGAGATTTTAAGACTGGGTGGAACACTTCTCTCTAAATTGCTATAATTATATATAGATGAATTCATCTTCGGGTCCAAAGAGTCTTTATTCATTCAGTCTAAGTCACAACATAGTTTTCTGTCTACTTGCGTATTAGCAAAACTGGAAGAACTGGCCAAGTGATGCTGTAGGGAATACATGGGACCCAGAATGCCATCCTCAAGCCTGTGTTACGTGAACAAATGCTGTTCTTCTTTCAAAAGTCCAACGTAAAGACTATTTAACTGTACTTTTAAAAGCAACTGAAAAAGGTCTTCTGCTTGGTTTATTCTGGGATATTTTTCATGAGCTTTCCAAAGGGCAGGGAAGGCCTTCATAAAAATTCGGCTTTCCGTGCATTGGTTAAGTGTGGCTGCTAAGCAAACGGTCAGTAGTTCGAGTCCACCAGCCGCTCTTTGTTTATGGCACAGACTGACAGTAGACGCCGAGGAAATCTGAGTGGGACCACGTGGGAGAATGATGTGGCAATCTGCTTCTGTAGAATCACAGCCTCCTCGTCCTACAGGTCCATGAGAGTCAGGATTGACTCTATGATCACGATTTTGGGTTTTTTGAGCTTATAGAAAATTTAGAGAAGACTTGAAATGAACAAATTAAAATTAGGTATAGCTCTCCATTTAAGAAAGTTATTTGTAACCCCTTAACCTTGAACAAGTTATTTAACCTCTGTAAGTCCTAACTTTTACATTTGTAAAACTTGGGCTAATAATAGTGGCTGCTGTAAGGTTGTGAGGTGATTAGTGTAGTTCAGTGCCTGACATAAAATACACACTTAGTGTGGTAACTCCTACAACCACTGTTACTGTGTACAGGTTTTGCACAGTAGAATGCTTCTTTTTTTAGACATGCTATTTTTATTTTATTTTATTTATTTTTAAAAATCATTTTATTGGGGGCTCGTACAGCTCTTATCACAATCCACACATGCATCCTTTGTGTCAAGCACATTTGTACATTTGTTGCCATCATCATTTTCAAAACATTTTCTTTCTATTTGAGCCCTTGGTCTGAGCTCCTCATTTTTTACCCTCCCTCCCTCATGAACCCTTGATGATTTATAAATTTTTTTTTCATGTCTTACACTGTCTGATATCTCCCTTCACCCACTTTTCTGTTGTCTATCCCCCAGGGAAGGAGTTATATGTAGATCATTGCTATCGGTTCCCTCTTTCTCCTCCCACCTTCCCCTCCTGGTATCACTACTCTCATTATTGGCCCCGAGGGGTTTATCTGTCCTGGATTCCCTTAGTCTGCTTATTTCTTTAGGATAAATTTCCAGCAGCGCAATTCTCGAGTCCTAAGAAATGCGCACCATGAAGGTATTTGGTGAACAAGACAAATTTGTCTCTCAAAAAGACTGTACCGATTTGTGCACTTACCGGTAGTGGGTAAGAGTGTCCTTTTTTATCCATCCTGCCATTACTGAGTCTCGTCTCTGGTTTTCTGACTCCTGTTCATGTTAGGAGATTGGCTAGCATCTTTTTTAAGATGTTTGGCATTTATTGACTGTTGACAGCAGTGTTTCCTAAAGTGGGAGATAAAGTTTTTAAGTGACAGGGAGCCACTGAATAATTTCTTTTTTTCCTGAAAAGGGGACGGTGGGCAGCATAAGTTTGGGAACCTATGGGGTACAGGTAGGTGAAGCACCAGGGGGAATATAAAACAATTGATAATCTGCTGGAGGAGAAAAGTAATCCAGGGTAATTCATTGGAAAATAAACTAGCTGCTGTGTGAAAAAGGCCAAGGCTACTTGACTGCAGAGATGGGAAGGGTTTATTTTAGCTTCAGGGAGCCCAAGGGTCAGGCATTAAGCTTTTAGGGGGAATGGGGGTTAAAAGGCCAGACCATGTCTATTGCAGCTCCTCATTTTAGCTGTTGCTGCCTGGAAGGAGGCACAGACAAAGGATGCTGAGTTTCAATAAACACATTCATTATGGATCTCAAGATAGGATTTTCATACCATTTTCAAATGTGATTCCTCTTCGCTTCTCCCTCGCGGGCCCCCCCCCCCCCCAGCTATTTAAATTGGTGAAAACTGTTCTTGGATCAGAGCATAACAGAAAGCAAGCAGAGGGCCAGATTTGGCTGCTGATCTCTGGTTAAGATCATTGACTCTAGAGTCAGATTTTTCTACTTGAATTTTGACTCCTCACTGCTTACTTGGTGTGTGACCTTGGGCAGTTCACTCATTTGTTTGTACTTCAGTTTTCTCAACTGTACGACAGAGCTAATGCTAGTGTCTTACCAACTTAAAGGGCCAGTGCCTGGTCCTTAGTAAGTGCTCCTGAAGTGGTAGCTGTGTTATGAGTTGTGCTGGGCCCTCAAGGATGGGAAGGATTTTGACCGGAGGAGCAGATCCTTCATTGGCAGAGGCTTCTGGGTGGAAGAGACAGTGGCAAGGTTAAGAGAGGCAGAAAAGCAAAGGGCATATATACTCTGTGACTCATTCAGCTCTGCTGAATTGCAAGTCAGGACATTAGTCAGAAATGGCCAAACCGGTGGATTTCAGCTAAAGAGAAAAAACTTGAAAGGATGTCGGGAAGCCCACGGAATCATTAAGAGGGCTATGGACTCAAGTGTAGAGGCCATAATGGACCTTCCAGTGCGGAGCTAGGAGGAAATGCTGCTGCCACCACTGAGGGCAGGGTTGTACTTGCACTAGGGGACACCGCAGGGAACTTGGTCAGATCTTCTGCACCTCCTTGTGCCACCAAGTTCCATGGTCCCTGCTTTCCGGTTGACAACCAGGAGTGATGCTCCTAGTTGGCGTGGTGTAAGCCAGGCATCACTCTCTAATTACTCGGGAGGTATTTTCAGCTCTTCTTTGGGGAAGAAGATTTCCAGGCAGAAGAAAGGGCTTAGATTACATGCTAGGGAGGCAAAAGACTGACACATACCCATTATGCCCCCAGTGTGGTAACGGTGGAGAAGAGTGGTAGTAGAGGAGGCTGGAAAGAGGTTGGACTTTATCTGGCAGGCAGTGGGTGCTGTAGGTCACTAAAGAGTTTGAGCTAAAGACAGGGCTGACTAGATGAACAGTGGAGAGATGGGAGGTGGGAAATATGAGAAGTGGCATCAAAGACTGAAGTCCAGAGTATCAATGAGAATAGAACAGAAGGCCAAGTGTGAGGGCCACGGGGGCAAGAGACCATGTCGGAGACCTGGTCTTGGAGAAGAGGAGACAAGTTTTAGGTCTGGACAGCAGGGGTTTAATATAGGGCAAAGTATGGTGTTTGAGATCAGACGGCTTGGTTTAAAATTTGCTTATTCTATGTTTGGTTTTCCCCAACTGTAACATGGACATAATAACTACTCTCTTCATTGGGCTCTTGTAAGGTCTTAAAAAGTTGATGCATGTAAATCATTTAATGTAGTGCCTGGCTCATGGTAAATGCTTCCCAAATGGTATGTGTGTGTGTGTGTGTGTATACACATGAATGCGTGTCAGGATGATGAACACATTCACAAATTGGGGTTTGATGAATGTACGATGATGGGTTTGGGACTTATGGCCCTTCCGGTGGTACATCTGGGTAGTCAGCTGGAAGTGCCCACCTAGAGCTTGTGAGAGGCCAGAGCTGGGCAGAGAGGGGAAGCCATGGGCTTAGGAAAGTCAGGGAGGAAGAGAATTTAGTGGGAGAAGTGAGGGCTGAGAACAGAACCACTGTGCTGTTTTAGTGGCAAAAGGAGGAAGTAGGTTTGATAAAGGAAGTTGGATTGAACAGCCTATGAAATAGGAATAAAAACCAGGAGAGTGTTGAGTCATGGGTGTCAAAGAAAAAGTTCTAAGAAAGAGGGGGGAGAAGTTACTCTGGCATTAGATATTGCAGAAAATTTAGAGGGTGCTAAGTGAGAGGTTGCCTCTGGATCTTGTAATTAGTTGGTCCTTGGTCATTAAGGAGAGAGCAGTCTTTTTTAGTGCCGAGAGAGACTGGTTTCTCAGTGAGTCGTAACAGTGATGCCATTGTGCCTGTATCTTAGAGGGGAAATGGAAACTAAAATGTGCTGTAGGTTTTTGCACAGGAACGTAGAGCCGGGATGGGATGTCTGGAAGTGTAGCAGTGAGCTACCAATGGCATTTTAAGACCCAGCTACTGCTCGGAAGAATTGTGCTAAATTCAATCTTCAGTATTTCTGTGAGGACACTTTGTGGTGCCACTCAGTGTTCCAAATTGAGTTGTGTTTTCTTTGGGAGTGGGCGTGGCGGGGGCGGGTCTCTCACACTTGGGATTTTGGTTCTTGTGTATGGTGGACCTGAAAGTAACCTTGATGTAAATTCAGAGGTAGGAATTAGTGAGTTAGGGGATTGATTTTATTCCCCGAGGCAACACTGGCTTGATGGGTGGGACTTCTCACTGGCTCTGGAGGAGGCTAAGTGGTGTTGGCTTCCTGACTGGCTCTGCCGAAGAAATGCCCATGACTCCTGCTTCAGGTGGGTTGAAGATTGAGAGCCACGTGAGACTTGATCGGGTGCCATGCCTGCAGCATCTTGGGACTCAGTTAAGACTCCTCTGCACCCCTAAGCCCCTTTTTGCAGACGGACAGGAATGCCTTGGTGCATTCTGTTAACTATATTTACGTAACATAAGGCTTGTCATTTGTACCCATTTTTACTGTACAATATGGCAGAGCTAGGTGCAATCAGTGTTTTGTAGCCACCTCTCCTGTTTACTTCCAGAACTTCACCCATCCTCCCACCACCAACAGAAACTGTCTACCCCTTAGACAGCTGACTTCTCCTTGCCCTGTTTGCCCGCCCCACCACCATTCCCCAGCCCTCGCAGCCTCTC